TGCTGAAGCAAACCTTATTCTGACCTCGCACGTGTTTATCCCTCCTCCCACCTTGTTCGGCAAGCAGAAATATATAGATGTACCGTTTCAGTCAATTACATTATGCTCTTCCCATGGCCATGGCTAAGTGTTGCCATATCAAGTGACATTCGCTTCCACGCAGCTACAGTTAGTCCTGAAATATGCAGGGTCTTGTACCCACACCTGGATTGATGGGTTCCTATTCCTGAGAAATGAGCGGGAGTTATAAACATCTGTGCTTTTTCTTAAGCGTAGTGCTTTCCAGTCATTCTGTCTTCACCAAGCGTAACTTACTTGCCGACAAAAGTGCACGAGCAGCGCTCCTCTCTAATAGTCTGCTATCGGAGCTGCTGTGTTGGTGCTGTAGAATGGTGAGACGCCAAGCTGTGAACCACCATATGCACTTGGCAGTCTTTGTCTGGTCTTTGTTCAGCCAACCTCTTAGCCTTGCCACCTATAAAGATAATGAATGCAAAATAATCCTCTGCTTGCTCTTAAAATTAGATGCTCAGCTTAAAGAAGAAGTAGGTAACTTGATGCTTTGCAGTAACTAGAAATTTCAGAGTAAGGGCTGACAGGTCACCAGCAGGACTGATTTTCCTGCTTTTTTGATGTTTTTTGAGGGAGGATTCTTAATGGCTTTGAATGGCGAGAAGAATGCAAGATTTCACTGTAGTAGAAGGACTATTTGGAAGGGGAAATCGTTTTGTCACTTACTGTAGGGAAGGGAGTGGATGTTGAAAAAGCACCCAGAAATAGTAAACAACCCCCTCGTGCCCACCCTCCCCAACCAAATGCATTTCCTCGAAATGTATAGTAACTCACCTCAGATTCTTATATTTCTTGCACTTGGTCTTTTTCCCCAACGCGCGAAACTTAAAATCCTTGCTTGAATTAACCACTTACTAAACTATATTTCATGAGCAGAAAAGAGCAGCTTTAATGTCTGACTTTCATTTTTGGAGATATGTGATTCTAGGTTGTATGTTTTTATGATCACAGTCCTTTCTAAGCTGTATTTAATGTAATAACTTGGTCCTGGCTGAGACCTCATATGAAAACTTTTAAAAGCTGGCCTCTTCCAGCGATTTATCAGGCCCGTTTAGGATTGATTTCCATTATAAAACCCTGGTTACAGCATCCCAGATGTCATGGTGCCTTGTGGGTTCTGTATCTTGTTTAAAAAAAAAAAATCCAAAATCACTAGTTGGTCTGCAAGCCTTGATTTACACAGAATCCTCCAGCCCAGTTTATGACATCCCAAGTGGTTTTTTTTTTGTTGTTGTTGTTGTGTTCCTGCCGATCCTGACCCCTTATCTGCCATTTCTCAGCAAACAGCTTCTATCCCTGCCCTACCTCCTGGCTGTACCTTTGCCTTCCACTTCGCCAGCCCAGCAAACCTGCCTAGACCGTGCCTGTTCACGCAGCGCTGCAGCGGGCACACGAGCCCACTGCTCTTCTGATGGCTCCCCGCAGCCTGCTTGCTCTCTGCTAGCCCTGCTCTGCCACGCTGGCTGTTCGCAGGGCCCAGCTCCTCCTTTGCCAACAGATGCCACTTCTGTCTCCTGAGGTGTTGGGCTGGAAGCTGGCTCTGCGAGAAGCCAGGCAGAGCCGTGCTCAGTGAAGGACAGGTTATTTGGGGGACGAGGGGGGAGAGGTACAGAATGCAAACTTCTGCCTTAAAATAGGCACTCCTGAGCGTGTCTGCAAGCAACTGGAAAACCACCCTTCTCCTGGCAGAGCGCTCCCTAAGCAGTTTTTCTGTATCTCTTTACAACCTGTTTAGTTGCTCACTACTGAGTGTGTGGGAATGTGGCCTAAGGCTATGAACACTGTGGTGATCAACTGATTTTGAATGTGTGTTTGGGATTCCCCCAAAGCTGGCTGTCATTACTCTGTCAGCGCGGTAGCTGAACCCGTGCAAAGGAATGCTGTCTTCCAGAGTAGCTAACTTTGGCGGTGCGGACAGGATTCCCACCACGTACCCAGCAGTTTTTAACCAAATGTTTGCTACAGATTGTGCATGTCCTGAGATAAACTATAACCTGGGTTTACTGTAAAACAACTAATAATTGGTATTAATCATGAGGTTAACAGAACAGAAGTCTCCTGGTGGTCTTTCTTACTCATGGTGGAAAAGCCCTCGTATTTCTCCTTGTCTTACTGATACTTTTTTTTGGTGGTGGCAGCTTAAGTTTTGGAGCATCCGTCTTTCTAGAAATTGTACGTGTATGTAGAGTCAGGGGGCAGAAGTGCAAAACAGCCATGATATCATATGTTACCTGTACAAATTTTTTTTTTTTTGAAGGATCTCCTGACAACCTCTTTCACCAGAATATAGCTTTATCATCATTTCTCTGATTTTTGGCAGCCAAGCAGACTCAGTGCAATTGATAATTGTTAGGCAGATGCAAAGCATAGGGGCACGGAGAACAACAGTTGCACCCATTAACAACCTTCTGTTTTCAGTAGGTTACACTGTTTTAAATAGTTCTTTTGGCATGTTCAGGAACACTGGTGTTGCCATGCTGATCCAACCACCATTTCAGCTTTTCAAAGTGGCCGTTATTGGTAGTTTCAGAATAAATCCCCAAAGCACAGGCTTCTTCAATAGGTACCTGCACAGTGGTGCATTGTTGTGCTGAGGAGGAGAAATTCTCTCTCTGCCATAACAAGCTGTTTGGCTTAAAAGTACAAGTTAGCCTCCGGTGTATGTATGCGTAAAATACTACAGTCTGTGTAGTACAAATATTCTGTTTCTTTTCTCCTCGCAGAGTAATATTAGGGATAAGAACTGAATTAAAGCTTACTTTCTTTCACAGAATTCCTCTGAGAGAGAAGACTGTAATAATGATGAGCCCCCTAGGAAGATCATTCCCGAGAAGAATTCACTTAGACAGGTATGTGATCAGTCTCTTTAAAAATGCAATAAAACTTTCTAGCTATTTGAATCCTTAAATGCTTCTGGAAGCTGAAGGCTGACTTGTGCTTATGGAAATCCTTTCTTTGCTCCGTGGAAGTCTGAACAAGTCACATTGTACTCAGGAAAAGCAGACACAGAGATTTAGCTTTCAGGAGAGTCTGATGACTCAAAAGAAATCTAGACTTCTATATAGTGCAGTCAGCTGTGACTCTAGTTTTACCTTTCTCCATTCTGTGTTCATCAAGACCTTTTCAGCCTTTTCTTCTGTAATTGTTCCTGTCTTGTTTGTAGTATATTTTGCCTTGCTTCAGATCAAGAGTCTCAAAGTGTTCTACAACAATTAAGCTTTTCATTGCCCTTGAAGGTAAATATTCTTGGAGGTGTTGTCTGGGTTAATAACCTGAAAAATGACCTGTTCTTGTTTCTTTTACACTCATATAAAATACTAATGGGTAGAAAGGAAAAGGGGTGGTCTGATAAAACATAATCTCTTTGCCTTTTATATATAGTAAAGCAAATTTCTTACCAATTCAAAAGAATCACTTTTTTTTCAATCCCCATGGTCAGCAAAGGGAGTCTGGCTTGTGCTTTCTGGGGGATTTAAGTTGCATTTAGTGATTTCAGATCCTTTTTCACCCTGCTCTTTCTCCCCACTGCAACCTTTAGGCAGCATAAGCAAAAATACATCCATGCCTCAGCTGCCCAAGGTGTATCAGAGTAAAACCATTGATGACTTAAGCGAATACCACAGGCCACACATTGCAACAGCTGAGGAATTGAGACAGTTCTGTCTGTATCTCAGCCACAGGAGCAGCAGTCTCAGGCAGAGCAATAGAGTGGTACTACACTGCCCTACTGCTGCTGTTGCCAAGAGAAGTTGTGGGTCAGACCCGTAGTGAAGGAAGAAATATCTTTTTGATATAGTGTGCTTGTGCTCAGAGTTGGTTTTGGGGAGGTGGGGTTTTGGGTTTTTTTAAATCATGTATTGTTTTAGGAGTGTTTGATTTTGTGGGAGTAGGTGTCATGTAAGGGGCTACGTGTGGCTAAGACAGGTCCCTCTAACAGACATAATCCATGTAAGTCTTTTGGAACAGAGGCAGTGTGTTAGCATAATGAGTGAGGTCCAAGATATGGCTGAGAAAGATTACCTTGTAGCATTAATTGAATGTGTTACACCAAACTTAAAAAATAACCAGAGCTAGAGGAAAAGGGCAAAGCTACTAGGTCCCTACTGTGTATCCCCTAGGACGGCCAACAAGGTCCCCAGCACACCAGAAACCTTTTCTTTTGTTGTTATCTTATTGATGGCAACCCTTCAAGTGCAACAAGGAAAGATGTATGTCTCTTCTCCAAGAAAAGGTTCGTAGTAAGAGGTGTGAAGTCAAAAGGAAGACCAATTTTCTGATTTGTGTGCCTCCTCATTGCACTGAGTCCTTCCTCATGATTATTGATTAAAGAGGAGACGGTATTAAACTGGTCAAGAAGGTGCAATTTCTTGAGATGTGTTTCCCTTCCATTATATTTCAATCTGCAGAAGTATTCTTAGTGTCAGGTGAAAGTTGTCTTTCCCACAGGCTCATGGTTCATCGTAACCAAGGTGACTAGATATGAAGAATACACCTAAAAAACCACTTGTACTGTCCAAATATTGTGTATTAGAAATAATTCACATGGACATTGTTTTCGTTGAAGATGGTTAGCTGTGTTTCAGGATATTGTTGAGATGTTGTATTAGCCTCCATCTTTGTGTCTGGTCTTTATAGTGACAGATGCAGGACCAAATCCTTGGGTCTTCTGGTTGCTATCTGGGGCCTTTTGTGTGGAGAACTATATTTGTGGACAAGTTCAAGATGTCATCTTAGTCTTAAAGCAAGTCCTTTTGTCTAGATCACAGGAGGTTGTTGACCATGATTTTGAGCCTGTTGTAGAAGGAATTTTAGTTCTTTACGTAGGCGTACATAAAGCTGTTTGTCCATTTTGGAAGCTCAGATTGCCACTCTTCTCAATTAGTGATGGACAAGAAGTAGCGCAGAGTTTTCCAACTCTAGTTGCAGAAATCAGACAGATATGCAGCCATGTGCCCATATACTCATAATCAATGAGTGATACTGGAAAGATCCGCATCTCCTGCAGGAAGGTATGCAGAGTGGCCACCCTGTCTTACATCTATCCATACTGTGTAAAACCAAAGAGACCTGACCTGCAGATGGTGTCAAGGCAGTAATACACAAAAAGTGCTTTCCACCTTAGTGGAAAGATGTTAACTGGGTAAATATTGAGTGTACTGTTTCATATTTTCTGTCCCTCCCTTAAGACACCACTGATAAAATTTCATTATTGGGGTACATAGACGTACATGCACAGAGGAATTGAATGTGTGTATGTGGGTGGAGGAGAAGTCTGTTTAGTTAAATAGTCTTTCCAGTGCAAGTGTCCACATATTTAGTACTTTTTGATTAATTTTAGAAAATGTGAGATGCATCAGACGAGTATGTTGTCTTGACATGTTCAGCTGCTGACAAGTTTAAATAAAGGTGCATTACCTTTTCTTGCCTTGTTTGTGGTGCTGGTGTACAGCCTTAACCATAACTGTTTTCTCAGGTGAGTTTGTGGAACAGACGTACCAGAAGGTGGAGGTAGTAAGGTGTAATCGTTACTTATGCATCTGAAGTTGTAAGCAGGGTCTGAAGACACCCATTGCTCAGTGCTATGGGCCTCTTACTAGGAGAAATACCATTCTTCTGTTGATTAAAATGGTTTTTGGAGAAGGGTGTCTTCAGGAGTCTCAACAAGTGGAGCTGTGTCCTTGGCATGCTGAAGTGGGAGGCATAGCCAGTCATAGGTGCGTGAGGGGCAGCAAGGCAGAAGAGTCATGGAGGCTAGCACTGGGAAAAGAAACGGAAAGAGGCGATGAACTTGACACTGTTAGCTGGAACAGTGAAAAGATCTAAGCTATAACAGACTTTGAAGTAAGGATGCAAATGTTCAGCTCTTGTTGAGTGCTTGATCTGACAAAATTAAATTTTGAAGGCGTAAACTGAAAATCATAGTATGAAAACAGACTTTAGAAAAAACAATGACAAGTGGCAAAAGTTTTTGGCAACTTTATTTAAGCTAACAAACGAATTTTCACACTGCAAAGTTATAAATTAATTTTAATAGGCTGATCCAGATGGTCCATTTGGAAAATGGATAGCTTGATCTGTTGAAAATTAAACTAAATTTATCTCTCTCATACTTCAAACTGAAGTAAGCGTGAGAAGAGTGCCCATTAAGTCCAGCTCATACAGATGGACCGGCAGGTCACACATGGGACTAATCTGATTCATTTTAAAAATAAATGCATGAGTTATTGAATCAGGTTCCTGTTTCAAGCCCTGCATGTGAGCGTGTGTGTGTGTGTGTGTGTGTGTGCCGCCCTTTCAAAGGGACTCACAAATGCTTCAGTGCCTTTTTAACCTGTGTGTTTCCATTTTAATTCAACTTCCTTGCCAAAAAACATAATTAGTTTTCAGTGCCTATCATTTAGCGTTAGACCCAAACACTAGATTGATTAGGTCAGGCATTTGTTATTTTAAGGGCTATGTCTCCATTCTTCATTTATGAAGAACATGAGCTCAATAGTCTTGGGGAGTGAGCTGGCCTTTAGAAACGGGGAGGGGGAAGCTCTCTGGGGGCCCCTCCAGCCTTTTAGCTTCTGGGTGTTTTTAACAGAGCCATGAATGCAGATTTGTAAATTTATTGCAGTGCCATCTGTTTTTTTTGCAGGAACCGTATTATTGTTGGCTCGTATCTGTCTATTGTGGTGGTCACTCCCCGGGAGCTTGCCCTCGTAGTCCTAGGGAAAGTGATGAATAGTGGGGGTCAACATGAATAGGTCACAGGGCAGCTGTCCGGGGCTGCCCTGAACTTGATTACCCCGCTGGTTTTTAAAGAAGACAGGCACAATGCAAGTTGTTTAAAACCCTCCCTCCCTTCTCTTCGGTGCAGGAATAATGAAGTGCCTTTTGCTGCTGTGGTTTGTCGGTGGGCGAAGGTGCCTTGTGGGGAAATGCTGGCAGCAGCGAGGCTGCCACAGCGTACCTCCTGCAAACCTCACGTTGGACTCTGCTGTCTTTCTGTAAGCTTCCAGATGGAAGTCCGGGGGAAAAAATCCCTATCTGTTACCCCATTCAAACAGGCCCATTAGCATTTTCAAGAATTTTTCCTCTTGCTGTTCTGGCGTAGAATATTACCTCAATTCACTCTTACAGATTCGAGATAATTTTGTAAAATTACACGTAGCACCTAAAACATGCTCTAGGCGCTATTTCAGAGTTAAAATAGGCACAGTCTGATCTTAAGAGTTTAAAGCCGATACTGAAGCAAACTGTAAGAAGCAAGAAAGTGGTTAAAGAAGGTAGAGCAAAGGGAGGGAAAAAGTAACAACTTCAACCGTTTACTTCCAGCTGGTAGCCTCATCCTGCTGCTTAGGGCTCCTCTTCAGGCATATTTCTCCAAAAGTATTTCTGCTGTGCAAAATTGAAGCCCTCTTTTCAACTGGTGAGGAAGGTTACACAGTGGGGAGGGAGTAAGGGTCCTTCAGCTCCCTCCCTCGGGGGAAGATGCTGCAATTCAAATTTGCCTTCTGTTGGAGAGCTGGCTGAGGCAGGACGTACCTGGTCTATAAAGTTATCCTGGTTACCTCATCTTTTACCCTATTAATGTGTGCTAGTAAGGAGTTGCTGGTTGAAAAGCATCCTGAAATTGTTAGAAATGCATCCTTAGTCTTTCTGTTTAATTTTTTTTTCTTTATTGTCAAACAATGGAAAAAAAAATTTCCATGCCTCTGTAACATTTAATGCATGTTAAAAAACTAGCCAAGGCAGGTTGTGCCAGAGTCCAAGTTACAATGGGAATGCTGCCTTGTGGCAGAAAGGCCACTGGGCTCTTTCAGCATTAGTGCTAATAGGAATCTGTCACCCTGCCACATTGCTG